GCAGCCCCGCCCTCTCACCGCCCAGCCAATCTGTGGCCTTCCAGTGAGCCCACCGCTCAGCAAGGTAACGAGTTTCAAACAAATCTTCGTTAGGTAGGATTCACACACGGCGGCTGATCTGATTGGCTAAGGTTATTTAAGACCCAGTCAGGCCTTTGAAGCCAGCAGGGTGTGAATCCTCTTTGAAGACAGGTTCGGTCAGGTGTGTCTCTGACCTCAGGTGTGTGTTCAGGTGTGCCCGCAGGCTTCCTGCCTCTTCATGGCGGCTTCAGAGATCACTTTGTAGAAACTCCAGAAGCTAAATACTGCTGCGAGGCGTGCAGGCTGGTCCTGTGTCAGCCCCGCCAGACCGAGTGTGGACACCGTTTCTGTAACAGCTGCATCTGCGACATCCTCAGGTGAGACAGGCCACTCCCACTCAGGGGAAACACCGCGTCGATTTGAGTTCCTGCTCCACCCTGCAGGTGTTTAACTTTTGTGTCCTCTCCTGCAGTCGTCCAAACCCGGTGTGTCCGGCTGACATGGAGCCACTGTTCAGAGACAAGGTGGGCAGGAAGTGACATCACAGCAGAGATCACGTTGTTGACTGATCAGTAGGACTGTCAACGTTAACATTTGTTAATCTGTGTTTACGAATAAAATGTTAACACGATGAAGCCATCTGGACAAACTTTGTACAAACTGCCCGAAACACGCGGAGACATTTCCGACGGGTTCATTTGGTTAAAATTTTAACGCACGTTAACGTTGACAGCCCCACTGGTCTGTGATTGATTCCCGATCAGTTACGGATCCGTGATCACTCATCGGGCCGTGTGATCGATCGGGCTGTGTGATCGATCGGGCTGTGTGATTGATCGGGCCGTGCTTTGTGTTTCAGATCTTCAAAGACGTTTGCTGCCACCGGGAGATCATGTCGCTGAAGGTTTACTGCCGCAGCGAGGCAAACGGCTGTCAGGAGCAGATGAGTCTGCAGCAGATACCTGTGAGCACACGTCCCTGAAAATCCCGCTCTCTGATTGGCTGCTCTGCATACAGCAGAAATTGACTTACCTGCCTCACCTGTGTGTCTGCAGGACCACCTGAACGTGTGTCCGTTCTTCGAGGTTCCCTGCCCGCTGGGAAAGTGTAAGGAGAGGATGATGAGGAAGGAGATTCCCGACCACCTGAGCTGGAAATGCAAACACAGAGAAACCACCTGCGAGTTCTGCAGCACGAAGATGCCCCTGACGGACCTGCAGGTGAGCCGCGGGCAGCGTTTGGCTTCTTTTGCTTTTTGGTGATTTTTGTGAAAAATTAAGTTTTTAAAAACTTTTTCAGAAACACAAAGATACGGTTTGTCCGGCGTTCCCCGTGATGTGTCCAAACCACTGCTCTTTCGCCTCCCTGCCCCGGAGCGAGGTGCTGACCCAGTTTTTCCCGGATCACTCGCACCCTTCAGGTTTCAGCTTTTCCGATCGCAGTGATCGATCAATCTATTGATTTATTGATGTTGTGCTGTTTCAGCTCTCGGGTCACCAGCATGACTGTCCCAAAGCTCAGGTCAGCTGTCAGTTCCACCGCTATGGCTGCACGTTCAAGGTAGTTTCATCATCATTGAAACGTGTGGCTCGTGTACCACAGTACTGCAGTTACACACCTGTATTGATACTTCATACTGCATGTACTGCAATATTGCGTGTTTCAGGGTTTGAACCAGGACATGAGGCAGCACGAGTCCACCTTCGCAGCCGAACACCTGAAGATGATGGCAAACAGGAACCTGTCGATAGAGAACAAGGTAACCACGGTGGCACGTAAAACACTTCTTCCTCAGAAGGTGCGGCGCGAGCTCACCTGAGCGCTCTCTGCTTCCAGGTGGAAGATGTAAAAGGTGAGCTGATGGAGCGGTACAAGGTGCTTCCTGCGCTCAGCAGCCGACTGTCGGAGCTGGAGAACCAGAACGAGGATCTGAGGGAGAAGAACCGGCAGATGGAGCAGAAACTCGCCACCATGCAGGTACCGCCATTTCGCTGGTGGAGGTTTTTTCTTGACAGCGTGGGCTCCTCCCACTGTCCACAGACACGCTCATCACGTTGATCTGTGCTCTCCACAGAAACTAATGAGCTCGCACTCAGAGAAGTTGCTGGAGGTGGAGCTGGAGCTGCATTCTCTCCGTCTGCTCAGAGATGAGGTGGAGAGCCTGCGAGGAACGCTGGAGAGCGTACGGACGAGGCTCGCCGCTCTGGAGCAAGGTGGACGCGGCGGATCCGGATCCACGACACACACACTGGGTTAGAACGGCCTCTCTGTGCCGCCGTTGGTCTGGGGACGGGCTGTAGTCTCAGACACCAGAGGTTTAGGGCTACGGCTGTTTGTCGATTGATAATCAATAACTCCCGTCTTCTGCTCTGCAGCATCCCTGGAGACTCAGCTGAATCGCCATGACGACATGCTGAGCGTCCACGAGATCCGATTGGCTGACATGGACCTGCGTTTCCAGGTGCTGGAGACGGCGAGCTACAACGGGACTCTAATCTGGAAGATCCGCGACTACAAAAGGCGGAAACAGGACGCGGTGGCAGCGAAGACGCTGTCGCTGTACTCGCAGCCGTTTTACACCGGATACTTCGGTTACAAGATGTGTGCTCGCGTTTACCTGAACGGAGACGGCATGGGCAAGGGGACGCACCTGTCGCTGTTCTTTGTGGTGATGAGGGGCGAGTACGATGCCCTGCTGCCCTGGCCCTTCAAACAAAAGGTACACCTCACTTCCTGTGTGATTAACCGCAGAAGCGTGAACAGCGTGTTCTGATGCGGTCTGTGTCTGTCAGGTGACCCTGATGTTGATGGACCAGGGTCCCTCCAGGAAGCACCTGGGCGACGCCTTCAAACCGGACCCGAACAGCAGCAGTTTCCGCCGTCCGGTGGCCGAGATGAACATCGCGTCCGGCTGCCCGCTGTTTGTGTCGCAGACTGTCCTGGAGACGGGGACCTACATTAAAGATGACACCATCTTCATCAAGGTGAGGGGCGTGTCCTGCGGGTTACAGACCCCACCTATGTATTGATAAATTCAGCGATCAGTGAATTAACCTGTGGTGATTGGTTTGACCGGCAGGTTACCGTGGATACCTCTGACCTTCCTGACCTGTGACCGTGTGATCCGACAAATGTGACCGGTGCACACCTGGCAGAGCAAAGGATGATGGGAAGGATCAGAGGAAGAGGATGGCGAAGAAGAGACAGGAAGCAGCCAGTCAGAGTGAACTTTATTGACTGGTGGACTACAAAACTGTGTGTGTGTGTGTGTGTGTGTGTGTGTGTGCGGGGTGGGGGGGTGAATGACTCAGTGTCACCGTGGTGACAGAACTCAGAGCCAACATGGCCGCCACTATGAGGACGTTGTTGCTGCTCGTTACTGATGCTGTGCATCGAGCTTTACTTCCTTTTATTACCCGTTTACAGAGGCATGCTGGGAAATCCACTACAGCCACAGAGGAGTCCGAAAACCTGATCAGACCGGATGAAACTACATAAAGCGCAGACTCCTGTAGAGCCCGGCGGTGCGGATGGCTGCTCTGTGGCCTTGGTGGGTTTCCGAGCGTCAACAGAATTCGTGCGAGTCGTTCGGTTCATTTGCACACTTTAAAGTTTTGAATGTTTGTGTGAAAATAAAACTGACAGAAAACAAACTTGTTTTATGGTGAAGTTTTTCTGCCGAGACTTCCTGTTTTATCGTCACTGATGAGGTCATCAATAAAGGAACTCTCTGCCTGTGAAATAATAGCGTAGCCGCATGATGTCACTTGGCGGTTTTGCTGCGTGTTGCTGCTGTCACTGATGTCTCGGGGTCCACGGTGGCGACTCGATCTTTGACACAGGTGTGGGTCACCGATGTGTGTGAAGACAAACCGAGGCTCCAGCATCTGTTTCAAGAAACTTTAATATCCTGAGGTAGAAAAGACTTGGTGTGAACAGTCTGTGTGCGTGACCTGAGTGATGAGGGTCACTCACACCATGGCTCAGATTGGTTGGTGGGCAGGGTGCAATGTGTGTTGGGGGGGGGATAACAGTCTGAATGGCCCTGGGGAAGACGCTGTTAGTCTGGAGGTGTGCGACCTGACTGAACTGAATTCAGAGGGTCCAACAGGCGGTGGGCAGTTCACTGGTTTACCTGGGACAGGAGGATCTGGCGATGCCATCCAGGGGTGTCAGATGGCAGTCAGTGTTAATGACCCTCTCTGCTGCCTTCCTGTTCTTAGTCGTGGCCCCTGAGCACCAAACACCAGGCAGGAGAGCACGCTCTCCACTGAGGAGCAGTAGAAGGCCAGCAGCAGGTCCTGGTCCAGGTCTTCATCTGGCTCTTGATGAAGGCGTTCCCACTTTCTCCCTCTTGCATGTGACAAATGAAGGCTTTCTTGAGGTTCTTCTTCCTCAGGACACCGAGGACGTGCAGCCACTGCTGGGCCTCCTTTACCACGGCGATGGTGTTGTAGGTCCAGGTGAGATCAGGGGAGATGTAGGTGTCCAGAAACCTGAAGGTGGAAACAGATTCTACCCGTTCTCCATTTATAATGAGGGGGGAGTGGACCTGTCTGTGCCTCCTGAGGTCCATTATAAGTCCTTTGGTTTTAAGGATGTTCAGCTTCAGGTTATTCTCTGGATCCCAGGATCAGGGAATCTGAAGGTGGTCCAGTTTGGTGTTGAGCATCTTCCTGTTCTCCAGATAGCTCAGCGCTGTGTGAAGGGTGATGGCATCCTCCGTGGGGTCGAGGGAGGGGGTGGACAGGCTGTGATGTGTGAGACACTACCCACTCGAAGCACTAGATGGGTACTACAACTTCAACACACGGATAAATACAGATTGTAGGAGGATGACGAGATTATCCATTTAAATGTCTTTACTGGAAGTGATGCACAAAAACATTAAAAGGCCAGATAAACTGATTTTTTAGAGGAGAAGGAGGACGGCAGGTGGCGCTGCTCACAGGAAACGGCAGCTCGTTGATTTTTTTTGTTTGAACCATAGAAGAAGAAGATAGCGTTATCCGCAGAAAAAGAAGCGGCTAAGAGTTTGTGCTTCAGCTCCAGACTTCAGGCTCAAACCGAACCTGAAAGACCCGAAGGACCCCAGAACACCGACCCGGACCCAGCGGGGCTGCGAGGCCCGACCCGGTAAGTGAAGCTCGGTGCTAGCTGTAGAACCGTAGAGCCCCGGGGAGCCAACAGGCTAACAGATAGCATTAAGATTAACCAGAAAACAGGCTCTTATTTTGAAAGGGCGACAAGCGATTGAGTTACTTTAAAAATGATTTCACGAAAAAAAATAAAAATAAACACAAAAAGCGGCACAGTGTGTGATCTGTGTGTAAAAAAAACCCAAAAACCCGTGTGTGTGTGTGTGTGTGTGTGTGTGTGTGTGTGTGTATATATATATATATATATATATATATATACACAAGTAAAACAACAAAATAAAAACAAAATACGAATAAATATGTTTAAAAGCTGACAGGAAGGAACAGGCTCTACCTGTCAGACAGGTGTAACTGTCAGTGAGGCGTTTGTGTGACGCGCTGGCAGCTGATTGGTCTGTAATGCTGTGTGTGCGTTCGCGCGCGTGCAAACTAAAATAATGTGGAAAAACGTTATCATGAGTTGAGATGATGAAGGTGACGACTGCTGAGATTCTCAGGAAAGTGTTCTCATGCAGAGTTTCCATCTGAGTATCCTGTGTAATATTACTATTCAGAGTAATCTGAATATCCTGAGTATGCTGTGCAGTGCGAGTCAATTTACTTGAAAAAAGTAACTAAATACTAATTGCTGATTAATTCACCAGAAATAATCCAGTTAATTTACTGATTACTTATTTTCAAAAGTAATTAGTTACTTCATTACTTAGTTACTTTTAAAAACTTGATACACAACCTGAATACGTAATAACGTCATAGATCTTTTTCTGCATAATCCATCATATAAAATGTAATCAAATGAAAAAGTCTCTTTTTAAAATTGTTTTAATTGATTTAATCTTTTAACTTTATGCTTCAAGCACGAATTAAATTATTTCAACTGTCTTTGACGGGAAGAAATGTTTAACATTTAAACCGATGTTCTGCATATTCCAGCGTATAAAATAAAATCACGTTTTGTGTTTGCACTCTTTCAAATAGATGCAAGTAAAACACAGCAGAAAATGAATAAAATCAAAGACTCAGCAGCTCTTAAATCTACTGTCAGCTGTTGAGCAGGAGTGGGGCGGGTGGAGGTTTGCCCACAGCAGTCATGTCAGTGGGAGGATCCGGGGGTTTCTCTGCGAGTGGCACGTTCCCGTGGCAGCGTGCTCACTGCTCGCTCAGATTTAAGTTTCATTTGTCGCTGTAGAAGTTTTCTTCCCACGCAGAGGGAACAGCAGACGCTAATGTTTCTGTCACTTTTTACAGAATCCAACTCAAAGTAATGTGATTACTTCCACGCTTTAAACGCTGCATGATCGTACTCTCTCCATCACTCCATGTTATCCATTGTTGATCTGCACACATCTGTAACCACGGACGCCGCACGCTCGTACGTCACTCATGAGACACTCTGACAAACAAAATCACGGTTTAGTAACGCAGTAACGCTGCGTGCTTATGGAAAAGTAACAGTAATCTAATTACTGTTTTGCAATAGTAATCCTTTAGTTTACTGGTTACTTTAAAAAATATAATCGAATTACAGTAATGCCTTAATTGTAACGCGTTACTGCCCATTTCTGATCCTGGGTGACCTGAGTAATCTGAGTATCTTGAGTAACTTCAGTAAGATGAGTAATAACCTGAGTAACCTCAGTAATCTGAGAAACCCCAGTACTCTGAGTAATAACCTGAGTAACCCCAGTTATCTGAGTAATAACCTGAGTAACCCCAGTAATCTGAGTAATAACCTGAGTAACCCCAGTAATCTGAGTAATAACCTGAGTAACCTCAGTAATCTGAGTAATAA